TCACGCCATCATCGTGGGAAAGATGATGTTTTGATCCGAGAACAGAACCAGTCTTCTCCTCTGCCGATTTATCATCTTTACCCAGCACTGACGCGGTAGCTAATACTTTGATTTCGTTTATGACCCCTTCTCGATGGAATTGATATTGGTAAATATCTCTCAGTCGTTCATATAACAGTTCCGCACACTGCAAAGCAAGTGCTACGAGAGATATGTGATCCTTTTGGGATAATATACCTGCCAAGAAAGACGCATACGGTACAGACCGCAATGCTTCTTCTATGATGTTGACATCAAGGGCTTGGACCATCTTTAGTTGTGCCAACAGTACCTTTTGCCTTACCCTCAGGTTCACAGTACTAGAGTAGACATCCGTAAGGGTCGGCAAGAGAATCGTAGCAAACCGTTTGATTTCCGGCTGGCAATTTCTCAACAACTCCAATCGCTTCTCACCCATGGCTTTAATTTTGGGGGTGGCCGACAGTGGTAGGGGGCCACCACCAAGCGTGAAACGCAGTTGATCATCTAAAAGAACAACTGATCCTTTTGATGCAGCAGGGAGGAGCTCATAGACAATATTGAGGGTTTCGTAGACTTGCTCGCGGGGCCGATGGATCAAGGCCTGCATAATGTGCACGGTATCAGACTTGGCCGGGCCAATGCTTTCGTCCGAGGGGGGTGAAACTCCTGTGAGGATTTGATACAAGGTATCTACTATATTCATTTTCAGGAGCTCGACAGACAAGCGCGGGCTTGATTTGCATATTATTCCTAGGATGCGGAGGAAATATGTGTGAATGTGTGGACCGATCAAGTTTGTGGTGCCTGGTAGGAGTAATCGAAGGACAGCCCTTAGAAGGTCCGGTTCAATTAATTCTTCTAAGTGCTCTGGCTTGTATCGGAAGCTTTCTACCACGCGGCAAACGCACAGGCAGCCCTGCTCAACAACCTTTTGGTCGCTACTTGAGAGCACATTTAGTAGTATGGGCATGACATCTTTCACAACAGGAAACGAGTCTTGCGGTACGTTACGGCAGCAATTCGCAGCTGTTGTGACGGCGGTACGTTGTGTGCTGGTGGGGAAAAAATCAAGATATGTGAGACAGGCTGTGAGACCTCCTTCCCGCACAATCGAAGCAGGGAAGTCTACAGATATCTTTGCCAGAGTCTAGTATACCAAAATGCGTCAGTACCTGATGTCTGTATGTATAGATCGCTGGGAATTTTTAGAACGGACATACACTTAGAGCTTGCTCAGCCAGGTCAATGAATTGTATATCCAGCAGCTTTTGACAGAGAATGGGCACGGCTCCCCCCTGGACAACGCTGCCAGCGGAGCCTCGAATGGCTTCCATCATGTTCGCCAGACATCGGCAAGCTAACAGCATTATTTCGGGGTTTTCTTCTCCGAAGTCATTAGGCTGCATCAGATTTACTAGCTCGTGCACATAAGGATCTGGAGAGAAGTGGCCAGCAAGATTGTCCTCGTTCGAAACTAAAAGAAGGTCTGACAGTTCCTGCAATGCAATTAACTGGACGGAAGGATCTTCATTTGTCTTCAAATTCGACAGGATATCCCGGAGTCGAGAAGACATGCCAGACATCATGCCGCTGAGAGCACGCAGCGTACTTTGTAGGCCAAAATGGCCCCCTGATCCAAAGATGCCGTTACGAAACGATTCATGTTCATCATCCTCGGCGGTATCCATCTGGTTGGCTTCTTCATGACTATCGCTGGTGGGAGAGGTTTCTTCATCATCTTTCTCATTCGCCTTCTCCTTACGTTCCTCGGCTCCATCTTTCATGTCGACATCAGTATCTCGTTTACCTCTCTTTTTCTGTCGACGAGGCGGAGAAACGTGTTGGGATGAGTCTTGGAGGAATGAAAGTGTCAGCAGGGTTTATTCATCAGAAAAGAGCCTGGAGGTAATAGAATAGCTTGCACACCTCTTGTGGTCTTTCTATTTCGACTAGTGCGGTTCTTTGAGGATGAAGACGAAGCGGCGACGGACTTTGGTCTCTCTTCAGACCCTCCGGGGGATCTATGCCACGTCAATATTAGTACTTATACCAAACACAATCACCCATTAATGCTTAAACAAGTCAAATAGATATCTGCGTACCTAGGCTGAGACATGGCTGCAGACTGTCGAGCACTGTACCGAGAGGCAGGCTGACGGGCAGGAGTCAACTTCTGGCGTTTGGAGCGCGATGCGGGCTGCGGTGACGGAGGGACCTCAGGGTCAGCCCGAGCTACCTCACGGCGGGAAGGAGCCTTTCGTTTCCGGGTTTGAGGGGCAGGATTAGGCGGCGAGGTGGACTCTGACACACTGGCAGCACTGCCGGCAGCAAGCCTGGCGGCCGATCGAGTTACTCTGCGTTCCATGGCGTTAGTGTGTCATATAGAGACTTATACAGAGTAAAGGAGGGGGGGGAAGGCCGAAGTGAAATGACCATCCAAGATGAAAAGAAAATATGCAACAAAACCAACAGCTGAGTAGGAGGGATAAGGAAAAGGTGAAGACCATGAGGAAGACGAGGGGGAAACAGGTATGAAAGGTTGGGGGAAAAAAATAGCATGGATGGTAAGTGAAGATGGAGACTTGAGACGGAATTTACCTTGGAGACGAGGTCTCTACAGCAGCCTTCTTCTCAGCGGGCTGTCCGGACTGGTCGAGAGAAGAGAGAGCACTTCGCTTGGCCATAAGTAAGTCATACACAGCTCACCCGTCAACCCGCCATCCGCAGCTGTGGGAGACTGGGAGGAGGAGGTGGTGGAGGAGGAGTTGGATGTGGGTGTTGACTCTGATGTCTGTTGCTCGGTCTTAGTTGGCTGACGTGACTGTTGTCTCGTGTTCAGCACATCGCAGAAAACGTGTCGGGAATGCTGCAGGCGAGTAACCAGACTCGCTCACCACTGACTCCGGGCGTCCGCTGCTTGCAGTCAAGGTCTGTCCTGCTCGAGGGGTGGTGAAAGACGAAGCTGGCGTCGACGGTGGTCGGAAGTTCGTCGGTTGACGTTGGAAAAAGGCAAAAGAGGCAGACGAACAAGCGCCAAGAAGCGCCGTCACCGCCGAACAAAAAAGAGCCGCAGGTCACGGGAACTTTGCTTTTGCCGCGCGCCGCCGCCAGAGCGCAAGTACCAGGTACCTTGGCCGCCTCCCGTCTCTGGCGCCCCTTTGGGGGCAAGCTGCCCAACCTGGCGAGAGACGGGGTGCGTGTGCGCTGTCGAGTGCGACGGGATGCGGGCCGGAGAGTGCGTGTATGCTGAATTTTTCTGTCCGTACATGGAGGCAGACGGTGGCGGCGGTGGTGGAAATCTCCAGCGGAACGCAGCGATGTTCGCCGTGGATATAAAGACGGGCAGACATCCCACTAAAACCCCCCTACGAGGCCCACCGCTACAACCAACCTTGCTAAAGACACCGACCGACGACAGCTGCGACAGCTCTATAGTGTCAATCGCACTGCTACGGCCATCATGGGATCCCTCGACTCGCTGCCCGCTATGAAGAGCGAGCCAAAGATCATCTTCTTCACTGATTTTGACGGCACCATCACGCTGCAGGATAGTATGCTTTATGAAAACCATTTGAACCGACAGGGAAAGATGCGAGTCTAACTGTGGATGCCACTCGCAGGCAACGATCACTTGGTAATTATCTATATTCTTGCTTGATTGCTTTCTACGTCCTGCCTCACTACTCTCATGGCCACTTGGCTAACCAGGCCCCTCCAGACTGACCACCTCGGGTTTGGCGCTGTCGAACGAAGCGCAAGGAACACCGCTATCCTCGAGGGCAAAATAACTTTCCGGTAAACGCTCGATTGTCATCGCCCTGCTGCTTAATGATGAAGCCCATTCGGCCTGTTTGCTGACCGCGCTGTCTCCTGACAATTAGGGATGGCTTCCGGGAGATGCTTGATAGTATCGACACCCCCTTTGATGAATGTGTCGAGTTCCTCTGCCAGAGAGTCACACTTGATCCACACTTCACCGAATTTTACAACTGGGCCAAGAACAACAACGTCCCTATTGTGGTACTGTCGTCTGGCATGGTCCCTATCATCCACGCTCTCTTAGTGAAGCTCCTCGGACACGAGCCCGAGAACATCCAGATTGTTGCCAACCAGGTTGCTAGTAGAAACGGAAAGGATATCAACTCCAAGGGAGGATGGCAGATTGACTTCCATGATGATAGGTGTGTTCATTTCATTGCCCCATGAAAGTCAATTTCCTTGACTAATGCTCGATGCTTACGTGCAAACAGCCACTTTGGCCATGACAAGTCCCTGGAGATTCGCCCTTACGCTGCAATCCCCAAATCTGACCGCCCGATCCTCCTCTATGCCGGAGATGGGGTATCCGACATCTCTGCTGCCCGCCAGACAGACCTGCTCTTCGCTAAAAAGGGCCACGGTACGTGCTTACCCTGCTGATTTGCTGATCAATGGATATTGATATTGATTGATTTGACAATAAAATACAGACCTAACTATTATCTGCAAACGGGATAATATCCCATACACCACTTTTGAGGATTGGTCTTCCATCCTCTCCACCACCAGAGACCTCCTTGAGGGCAAGACGACTCTAGATGATGTTATCGCTGCACAGAAGCGCGATAACAACTAGATTTTTTACCCACGTTTAGTTCTGATCGTTTATTATAGACTGGCATTGTATATGCTGTTTGACATACATTTTAAACATAAGACAATCTAACTACGACTGAGGTATAGAGTATCATGAGAAATAGATAGAATGATTATGCCATGTTTGATCTGTCATTTCCTTCCCTTTGATGTTTCCGGTAGTTATCAGCCCCCCCTTGTTTCGGCCCCCTAAGTTACAGAATATGCCACCCGTCATGATCATGAAATATTGTCCTCGAACAATGTCCCAGAGTAATATCACTTGGGCGCGCCTCTGTACATTACTATACAGCCTATGATCGTACTCTTACCCTGAAGCGTTGAGGTAAACCTCTCGTATATGATCACAGAGCCAAAGTCAGGGCAGTCTTGTAGTCAGCCATATCGAGTCCATCCGATAGCTGTTCGCATTCCGCCAGCATGCGATCAATAGAAGGGATAGCACACTTCGAGTGGCTGTAGAAAAAGGTGCTCGTCCTCTGGGCAGCTGGAAAATACATGCCATGTCGAAAACGATGAGTGAAGTCCTGGAGACTGAGGCCTGTATACGGCGACTTGGGACGGTGTGGCAGGATATTGAATGCTCGTAGACGTTTTGTCAAGGCACCAACCATCAGAGCATCACACTCGAAGTTACAATGTTCGTTCTCTAGGTAGTCATCTAGATGACCAATGAGAGAAGATATTATCCGCCTTATAGCCTCCTCTCGTCGGCTATTAATTGCATCTGCCACAATGTGGCCAGTCAGCCAATGCATTCATCATTGATACGTAGGTCGGTTGTGCGTCAGGGGTAACTGCTCACCAGCAACGAAGGACGGGACAGGTAGCTCATTGAAGGTTAAGGTACCCCGTCCATGTCTCAGGATCAGCCTGGTAACCCTTTTGAACTCCTCTGGCTTGTTAAAGACCCAGCAGACACACGTCCAGGATGGAATATCATCCGTATAGCAGTTAGGAATAGTGGATATCAGATTACCAAACCAGAAGCCCGCAAACACTTCGATACGCTCGTGCAGCTCGTACTTGTCAACTAGTATTGCAAGCTGGGTCAGCGTCTGAAGGTCCACTTGAAGCGGAACTTGACGCAAATGGCCGTGAATAATGTTCAGTATAATCAAAAAGGCATCCGGGTCATCATCGGGGAGAGGGATCTCAACGCTGCCCACCGTACGCAGGGTCTGACTTTCACCAAATCTATGCTCAAGCATCGCACGAAAAACGGATGACGCAAGAATCAAATGCCTAGATGAAACACGTATGGAGATTTCTATCATTGTTAGCGTTGTCCAGACTTGGGGAATATGAAACTGGGGATTCCACTAGATACCCTCTTCGCCATGACTGCTAGCTTTCGTTCCGCGTGAGTCTTTGGGCGCTTGACAGTTTGAGCTTTCGTCGACATACTGCACAAACCGGGTCATCAAAAGAGTAATCTCTCCATTTGGATCCAGCTGGTGTTGTTCTCTGCCAGAGCTCATAGGCTTGGTGACAAGCCGCAGCGGGGACGGCGTCCTGAGAGACGGCATCTCGATGGACAGCTATTCACTCTCTCTGACACAGGCTTGTCCCTGCTCACACTCCAAGAGCATAGTTATTGAGACGGAGGAAAGTCATCGCATGCTCTGCAGCAAGGGCGCGGCAATTTTATATAATATCTCACACCAAACGGACAAGACGGCTCTTCCTAGCGAGCCATCCTCATCCATCGTGTGACATGCAAGCAGTCGTCCCCTCGTTCCGGAGTAAAGGGAATCGTGCATGATGGCCACGGAGTCTCACTGCATGGCCAGCTGCAGCCTCTCTGAGCTTTCGATCGATTAAGTCCTGATTGGAATTGCAAACGGGACCAATTGTTAGCCGCATCACCCCCCGGCCTTCAGGTCCTCTTGCGCCCCCTGACTCAACCGAATGTGCTTAGGCACGCCACCTATGACAGCCGGCATTTCCAGCTTCTCGACTGCCCTAATCTGTCCATATATGAAGGGCATCCTGGTATGGCATGGATATGTACAAGTTCCGCATCCTGCTCAATGGCCCTCGGATAGTTACATCACCAGCTTTGTTTCCGTCGTGGGTACGTCTTTATAAAACACAAGCAGGCAGCTTGTTAGTTGGCCATCCAACTGTTTCCAAGTCACAGACATCCGATCGATGGCTCGGACATGCCACTTCCCCATGTTTTGGCCCAGCGGCGGGACAATGGCAGCCTTGGATGGTGTACTCGGTACCCTGGCCAGCGACCAGCCAGCCTGCTTGCGGCACCACCCATCGCACTGACGTCCTTTATCCAACAAAATGCCGCGGAATCTGCGGACAAACAGCCAGTTGGAGTGCGAGTCTGCATGTCCCAGATGTTGGTTGTACGAGAGGCCTTGTCAATATTCGTGTTGGGCATTCTCCAACGAGTAGCTGGCCACGACAGTCCAGTCCTGAGTCGGCTCAGAGTGCCTATCGATGCCTGCCGAGAGGACGGCTACTGACTAGTCGGTATAAGAGTGTCATTTTCTGCATTGTTCTGTCTTCGTATTGGTGATCGAAGAAATCCACGGTTAACCTACTGGTATGTTGCTGTCATTAACGAGAAGCCACTTGTTAAGCGACTTGAGTTGTCGGTCGTTGGTCTTTGGTAAAACCAACTACCTAAACTAATAAACACTAGCGGCTATCACGAGCATATATACACACACACAAAAGAAACATTTTTCGCGTTGCTGCCACACTCGTATAGGTAAATAAGAGTATGCGTCAAATGCAGTTGACTGATTAGCTAGCTAATACATACTAGTTTTGTCCGCTTCGCAATCCGGGTACCATCTCATATGCAGCATGATCATCCCGAGGCTGGCTTGCTGTCTTCCTACCAAAGAGTACGCCGAATGTTAAGATATGGCCGACTTTTGCTAACAAGGATCGATCATCCTTCCCCTGATCAGCAATAGTTTCCGCGTTACCATCTTTCGCAACATGAATGAGGTGGTTGGAAGGTAAAAAGCGGGAAGGGTTCCATATGTTCCACAGGACAGAGTTGACCAGCATGAGGGAGGCTTCAAAAATATAGTAGTAGTATTCATGACGTAGGATAGGGCTCAAATTTTTGAGTTTCTCTATATCCTCCAGGTCCACGGCTGTGTTCCCCAGATGCTCTATCAGGCGGTAGATGCAGCGAATGAGGATCAAAGCCATGCTCACATACAGCGTGATTAACATGGTGATAATAGGGCGATAGTATACGGAAAGTATCTGGGCTTTGGCACAGCGGCGATGCAGAATGCTTGCGAGGGTGAGAAACGTCAATATGACTGCAAACTGAAGGGATAAAGCTGCGATGGTCAAGCTGCTTCCAAGGTGTTGCTGGCTCGAATCTGCCGAGGGGTTCGAGCTAAGTGCAACACCCAGCGCGTTCAAAGTCTCAACGATTGACATTATCAGCCCAAACGTGGACACGACCTTGCCCGGAGGAAATGGCGCAAGATGAGGGATATAGTAGAGGACTCTCCCGAGTACATGGTAATTGGCAAGCTCGAGAAGCGGACTAGTTATTTAGTTAGCTCTCATAGAATATGAATGATTGCTACCACTGATCTGCAGAGCACTGACGGGCAGACATATATAAAGACCTGTCCAAGGATGAAGATAATGAGGGTTGTCATATCTCCTGTGTATATATAGTTGAAGGAGCCATATTCTCTCATGGAATAGCCCACCGTGAACATAACTGCACATAAGGGATGGAGCCCGACAAGATTCCACGAGTTATGTTGTCTACTCACACCTGTGAGTTATACAAATCATACCACATATGATCGGATCTTGCTCACAAACATTGCCAGATATGACCCGCCGCAGAGAGGGCATAGGCAACAGCAAAGATGACAGGGGCGACTTTATTGGGGGCGTATACGAAAAGACTGCCCAGCACTGTATAATATGACATTAGCAGAATAGTTCGATGGCAGAGCATCATACCTGAGATACTTACCAGGCGTTCCGTCGGCTGCCATATTGTCTTCGGTCCTTCACTAATGCTCACGCAGAATACATATGGAGAAAGATAGGTACTCAATGACATATTCTTAGCGATAGCTTGCCCACAATGTATCCGCACCTTGTTGGGGAAACTTTACCTTGGTGAAAAAGTAGGAGCCTAGAATATGCCTGAACTAAGCTCAATCGGAATGGAAGTTTGCTGGGTTAAATGATTTCTGTCTGGAATCCTTCATCCTGATCCTTCGACTTGACTGGGGAGCTCCCCTCAGCCACACTTAGCACATATGTATACACAGAAGGAACGGAAATATCAGGGATTTATCGCGTATTTGTGCAATACTAATAGTTTAAGAACTTTGGACTGGGATTAAGATATGAGGAGACATCCCTCCCATATGACACTGGGTGTTGATGCTTTGAAACACGGCGATCTCACCTGAAAAGTCGCGAAACAGCCAATCGGCTGCGAACACCGAAAATCAGCCAATCAAGAAACTGTTAAATTTAGAGTATAGTTACCCACTTCCCGCTTTTCTGGTCAATCTGGGCCCACCCCCGGAATTAGCGGTGATAGGAACAATAAATACACAGGAACTACGGAGTATCATTCACTACTACTAACCTAGCTACAGGTGTATCGAAAATCGGCAACAAAAAATCTAAAGGATTATGACCTAAGAATGGAAGCTATTTTATCTAAGAGAATATTTGAGTTGGCATTCTGGCCACAAACTACACCTTTACCATTTTAAATCCAACAAGGGAGTACCGTGCAGCCAAGAAGGCAGCGACGGAGGCCAGTATACTGCAGCCACAGAACAGCTGTAGACCCAAGTAGCCACCCTTTTCACAAGACCGCCTCCAATGGGACCACCAGTAAGTGCTCCAAGAGACTGAATCACAAAGGCTGTCCCAGCTCGAGTGCCGATCTGGCGAACATCTGAGATCTGGCCTATAATGGTAGCCGTCAAGCAAACGATGACAAGTAAACCAAGAAACATGAAGCTGATGGAGCGCATCATCCATGGAAATTCAATTCGGTCGTTCAGTTTACCACCGGCTCGACGGTTGGAGCACCAGGATACAATACATGACGTGCTCGGATGGAACTATAAATGGGAGTGGCACTCGAGCGGTTGGGGTATGTTGGGAAAGTTGTTGGAGATTCCAAAGTATTCCATTGCGCTTGCTCGGGACATTGACTGACTGATTGACTGATAATATCAAGCTATTTCTTCTTCTTGCTGTATATATATATATATATATATATATTATTATTATTATTATTATATTAGGGATAGAACCGACTCCATTATTGACAGAGAAGCGACCTCTCAAATTTTTCATTGTGGCATGGGGGAGTACAACTCTTCACCCTTGGGCCCATGTATTGCAAACCTAGAAGCGGGTTCTGCATTAACATGGAACCGTGCGGAAGGCCCTAGCCAGCGGGTAAAGGATAATGGAATAGCTATAGCACCTGACCAACAATCCTCTTCGATGCCTCCTGCGCATCCACGGAGCTTCAATCTCTGCCGTCAGCGCAAGGTAAAATGTGACGGCTGAAAACTTTGTTCATGCTGCATTCGATCCGGGACGGAATGGGCCTATCCTCTCGGGGAAGGTAGAGCTGCACAAAAGCCACGGAATACACTAAATATTCAAGTGATTGAGTGGCTTCATAGGCTAGAAGACACTATCAAAAATCTCACAACTGAGTGCGGTATCACCGGTACCCTTGGTGGTATGACCCCGTCTCACAACCTTAAAGAATCGAGACCAATGCCTAGGCAATTCAATACCAATGCTATTATGGAGCAGCAATTCGGTCGTTTGATAGTGGAAGATACCCATAGTGTATATAAGACAGAGGAGAAATAGAAGGCTTGAAAATAAGTACACGGAAAAGAGAAATCAGCTTCACTAGCTTTTGTGTTTATCGCAAGAAATACACCGTGATGAATTAATTATTTTTGAAGTTCCCAGAGATCAAGTCATGCGTCCTGTTCTTTGTACCGCATTGCAAATGGTAGGTCTAGCATGTTTCATTTAAAAACGAACCCTTTCTCGGTCACACTATGTCTATTCAAGTGTTTCTTTTGAAACTTGGATAAAGTTCCCTAGTAAGTCTGTTCTCTGTTATCAAATCCACTGGTCACCAGTTCATACTCGGCTTGTGATCAGAACATTAATTCAAGTACTCCGTATATCTGAGGCATTTAAATATGCCCCCTATATTCCTGGCTGTGGGTGAAGAGATGTTCTATTCCAACACAAAATAATGCCCCCATTGAAACCGTAGTGAGAGAGCCCGGCCCGAGCCGCGAGAGTGATGGGAATTGAGGTTGTAGGTCGCTGTTGGCATAATATTGCCATGAAATGTAGCTATTGAATGTCGAAATCTTGTGTCGTTTGATATCCAATACGAGAGTTGCTACACCGATTGTCAGAAATGTATAAAGATAAACAAGAAGCAGCATTCACATGATGAGGTCATCCTGCAGCCCTATGGAATTAAGCTTTGCGGCGGAAAGCCTTAAACCCGGTTAACTAACCTTAAAAGGACGCCTGATCGGCTGCCAGCGCTTCTTCTTTCTTCTTCCTCTCGCTTCTCGCTTCAGTTGCCTTTCTTCTTCTTATTCTTCTCTGCACTTCTTATACCTGTCCATCGGCAGCTAACGATGATATACTGTTCATCTTAGCTTTGCCGAAACCGTTTCTTACCTCGCCACAAATGTTTTTCAACATACCTTATCCGCCTTCCCAGGTTGGATACTGGTCGCCTGTCACCTCCACGCTCAACTGGTGTGAAGAGGTAGCCCTTACCCACTACACGATCGCAAGTATATGATACCAGTGGACTGATGGCTTTCTTTCTAGGACTACTATGCTACTCCGTACGCCGCCGAAATTGTGAATGCCTTCACCAATATCCTATTTCTATACCTGGGAGTCAAGGGTATCCGGAGCTGCCGGAAGAACGGCCACGATGCCATCTTTCAAGTAGCGTTCCTTGGATACCTCCTGGTTGGATTAGGGAGCTTTCTATTCCATTCCACACTGAAATGTATGCTCGATGCGACTCGCCCTACACTCCCAGCACACATTCGCTAACCAGGTGCTTTGTGACGTAATAGATCCCATGCAGCTCGTTGACGAGCTGTCGATGATTTACACGACATGTCTTATGTGTTACGCCACCTTCTCCTTTTCTCGGCCTCGATCCCAGTGTGTTATACTTGGAGCTGGTCTCCTGAGCTTGGCGGTCTTCATCACTCTCTACTATCACTATCTCCAGGACCCCGTCTTTCATCAAGTGGCATATGGGGTCCTTACTGCAGTTGTGATATTCCGGAGCATGTGGGTGATGGAAGTTACCCTACGTCCATCTCTACAGAGATCGCGCAGCCATACCAAGTCAGGCGCCTCGGGGCATGCGCTGACTACTAGCGGAGAGACAGTGAACGACAGAGATCTCAGAATCCTCAACAGTATGTGGGTAATGGTAGCCTACGGCCTGTCGACTTTCCTTGGGGGGTTCTTCATCTGGAATTTGGACAATAAGTATTGCTCGACACTGCGTATCTGGCGTCGTGAGATTGGACTTCCGTGGGGAATCTTGCTTGAGGGACATGGGTGGTGGTGAGTTTGCGCTATCCGTTGTGTTTTGAGAAACTGGCCTATATTGCCCACTTGCTCACTCAAAAGCAGGCACTTGCTCACGGGAATCGGTGCATATATGTATATCATTTGGGGAATTTGGTTACGTCATTGCCTCCACGGTCACCAGGACGAATACAAATTTGATTGGCCCCGGCTCTATAATGCCGCTGACATCGTCCGTATTCACGATATATCTAAACCCTCGACCCCCGAAGGCTATGCTGAGAAGCTGAACTAAGGCGATCGAGATCTTAGTATATACCACCAACACCCCGAGAAACACCTTTTAGACAGTTTGGTTTGGAGTTCTAGGAATTGAATCTTTATGCTTCTAATCTTGTTCCAAATCGAGTGGAATAGGGCTTGTATCCATAACTATATATATAGAACTGGTGCACACTCTAAATATGGTCTATCTAAAAGAGAATCGGCATAGTCTGCGGTTATTAAGTTGACAATAGCACGTTAAACTCAGAGGCAACCTGAAGCCTGGCTCACAAAAAAGTATGTCGTTCCTTATAGCTTCGCGTCAGTATTGGTTTTCTTCTTCGTATTTCGTATGTCAAGTAGATCAGCCTGTTTGACCCATTCTTGGTCGATAGTCATTTTCTCGACCGATGATTTCTTGTTCCATGCTGTGGTCAGCTGTTCCTCCTCCCGACGCCAACGATGCATCTCCACACTTATTTGGTCGGTGCACAGTTCAGCGGTTCGATTCACCGCTTCCATGGCAATCAGGTGGCCAACCCCCTTCATAACGATGCCCTTGACTC